ATTTTTTATATACATTTATAATAAAAAATACTCTTACTTTTATTTTTTATTGTTGATTTTTTAAATGATATAATTATAATACATTAATAATACCATATATATGATTTAACTTTGGTTATAATTAAAACAAAGTTATTGGTTAATTAAATTTTTGAGAGTTAAAATTTTCAATAATTAAATTGAAAAAAAAAAAGAATTTTATTAGTTTTGATTAATTTTTTGAGAATAAGTATTTGGATTAGTTTTAATTTTAACTAAAAATTTATTTTTATATTTTTAAAATATTTTTTAATTTCTTAATTGTTATTTTATTAATTTTAATTATTAAAAAACTAAAAATTATCTAAGTAAATAATAATTTAATGAAAAGTAATAAAAAAAAACTTTAAAAAATCTAGAATTGATTAAAAAATTTATATAAAAGGTTATTAGGCTTGATTTTTTGATTATACTCATTTCACTTATTAGTTTTTTTATTTTTGAGACATAGCAACCAAAACTCAAACCATTTGAAATCAGTACAATTTAGTTTTTAGTAAAAAAAAAAACCCAAAACCCAATCAAAATCTACTTGTCAATTAGGGTTTTAGTCGGTTTTAGATTTTTTATTATATTACAATTTTTTTCACCCACCCCTAATCATGTGGCATTTTTAAGTTTATAATATGATATGTTATTATATGTTTAGTTTCTTTTATTCAATGATCTACTTATATTGTTATATATATATATATATATATTTATTTAATAACATTTTAATATTATATCATAATTATAAATTTACAATTTTATCAACCATTATAACTATAGCATGGTGGAGATTTTTTTGCTAGATTTTTTAGAATGAAATTGGATATTATTGGTTATTGGTTTGGCGTAATCTTATCCCAGTTGCATAATTAATATCACAGACTTTTCAAAATCCTATCACTCCACCGTTCTCTATCAAGAGTGGTACTACTTTAGTCAAGAGAATATCATATTGTGATAATTAAAATTTTCTTAGGTCACTAAGATAATCTTTTGTACAATGTCGGCACCTGTAGTACTAGCCGCGTTGGTTGAAGCACATCAAGTGGCTTATCCTAGGTTTAAGTTGCTGCAGTTGCAACCTTGTACTGTAATTATTCATTTTCCTCAAATATTTAGAGTTTAAAATAAAAAAAAAAAAATATTTTGTACAATGTGTGAATGGCCTTTTCTTTTTCTTTTTCTTTTTTTAAATTAATACAAATAATTTATTGACAATGTTAATTGATCACATTAATAAGAAAAATAATTGATATGATTTTTGATTCAGTACATCTATTAATATTCACCGATTCAACTATTAAAATTTGTATTTAAAAGTTTTTTTCATTATAAATTTAAAATTTAAAATTATAATTCTTAATAAATATATTATAAAATGTGTTAAATTAGAGGAAATAATAATTATTGTCCCATTTATAGACACTAATCCACCACCTCCTCCTCCTTGACCAGGCTTGCAGAGAGTACTAATTCAGCATCTAATTAACATCTACTCCCTCCACTTTGACTAAGCTTAAAAAAACTAATTCATTCTGAAGGGGTCAAGTGCTGCCCTCATTTTTGAGCGAAGAAGCTCTGCTCAGTGAAACAATGTTGACTTTATCATTAATTTGTGCTGTTTCAAGTCTTTTTCCCAGCTTTGTCTCCATTTTATGACTTCTTGTGCCATGTTGAATGATTCTCTAAGAATGAACATTTCGTTTGACATTATTGGAAACTTTCGGCAACTTGTTTTCATAAATTCTCTATATACATCATACATGTTCATCATTTTCTTATACATCTGATTATAATCATTAATCTTTTAAAAATTGCCGATGGCTTAATAATTCAATAATCAGCTTTATTTTTAGTAGAAGTAAAAGATTATGAATTTAAGTTAGATGATATGCAAGTGAGATTGATTAAGGGTTGTGATAGAGTTGTGTTCTATTATGCAATCAAATATCAAAATAATAATAATAATAATAATCTTTCAAAAATCTTCCCTTTGAACTTGAAATTTTTGAAAAAAATTTCTAAGATAATTAACAGTTAAACATTTTTAGAAGAACAATATATATGATTTCTTTTAAGGCAAACAAATATTTAATTTAATTGTTAATAATAATAATAATAATTAACCATTGATTTTAATTAAATAAATAAAAATATTTAAATTATAAACAATTAATACCATATATTAGATATCTATTAATTTAAATAATTAATTCAAACATAGGCGAAGGTTATAACCATACACCCAATTGTTAAGACCACACAAAATATTATAAATGAATTTGATTTATTTGATTTTATTTTTGCATAGTTGCTTAAAGTGTTTAAAAATATCAATTTATAGACTAATTTTAAACTATTAAATAATATATAATAGTTGTTTTATAAAATATTAATTAACAATTACAATTATTCTTAATAATTAAATTAAATACAATTATAATTTTTTTTTGTGACTAACAATTAATTGAGTGACCATAACCTCTTCAAAACATAACATGAAAACTTCATTTAACCGGAATGTTTTTTATGGTAATATTTAATTTAACTAGAATGTTGAAACTTGAAGCAACCTTTGTTTAAAAGTCTATAAAGTAGTACTCTTTTTTAATGAATTTCTTTATCTTGACAGACTAATACTAATCTGTATAAACTTAAAATATATATATATGTATGTATCTGTTTTAAGCATTACAAACATGATGCATGCACATGCTCTAATCTTGGATATTATCCAACTGGAATGCTACTCCAAAATAAAAGAAAAATTGGTTCTAACCATAACTTTCAGAACTGCATGAGTTTATCTCCAGCCTTAAATACAATTTTTCCAACAAATACAATTGGTAGGATATCTTGCCGGATTTTTGTTATAAACTTATATTAAAAAATAAAAATTAACATTTAATTTATCAACAATCTAATTAAATTTATTCACTTTACACCAAAAGTAAAACTAAATATCAACATTTATAATTTTTTATATATAGTTTAACAAAAAAATATTCTTAACTTATACTTTAAAAAAACCCATATTTCCAACTTCTTATAAAAAAAAAAAAAATCGAATTGCTATAAAATCTTTCTTGTTACATATTAGTAGTCGCTATATTTACAAAAATAAGTGACAAACTGGACAAAGTGGGGAATCAAATCTATCAATTAAAAGACAAATACTACTCTATCTTTTTTCTCTTTCCTTTGTTTTTTACAATATTGCTTTAATAGTTCAAAAATAATAATTTTAATTTGACTTTTTAATATTTAAAATAAAAAATTTAAGTTGAATATTTAACATAATAAACTAATACCAATAAAATATTTTCTTTTTCTTATTTTTTTATATGTACAAGTAGTTTTTATTTATAAATTTCAGTTAATAAAATATATGAGTAACAATTTGTTAATTATGTACACTAGAAAATTTTTAAAAAAATTATCCAAATTGGATCCAGAGTTCTCTAGATGCTTAAAATTCGGACTGCCCAAACAGAAAATTTCACCCAAAATAAAGAAAAAAAAATTCATGTGATTTTATTTACCACGTAGACCTGCAGTGGGCCCGGTTTTGCTCATTCTTCACTCATAAGCCACGTGTGTAACGGACAACTCCACGTTAAAATAACCATACAAAATATGACATGTAACTGAGAATTTGAATTATTATTAAATTATTTAAAAAAATTTAAAAAATTTTTAATGTATATTTTAAATATATAAGTTTACTGTTTTGAAAAAAAAAATATTATATTTATCAATTAATTAATTAAATTTATATATCTTATGCTCAATTAATATTTATTTTTATATTTTTTTAAAATAAATTTATTATTAAAAATTACTCTTAATTTGTATTCTTTAACATGTATTAAAAAAATTCTTTTTAGAAAGAAAAATTAAAAATAAAAAACAAATTTATTTAATCCAATTTTAATTATTGGGATTCAAAATGCTCCTTAAAAGCGTTAATGCAATCATTCCTCTTTCATTTTTAGTGTGTTTTCCTCCACTTTCCTCAGTACCAATTTTCTCTCTGAATTTCTCCGCCCCGTTTCATCGACGGCAGGCATCACCGTCCGATCAACTGTTCACATTCCGGCGATCCTGCTCCGATGAGTCTCCTTTCCGATCAATCAATGGTGAAATTCAATTCATTCGATTTCAAAATGAACGGTACAATTCTCGTTCTTCTCTAACCCTCTCCCCCCTTCTTAGATCCATCCCCGTTCGATTCAAAGGAAGGGGAAGGTAGGGGGATTTCGTTTCTGATTTCTTAGGGTTAATTGATTCCATGCATGCGGGTTCTTTAAGCATCTTCATCAATCACCGTCACCGGATCACGAGTTGATCGTTGCCTAATCCCTAGCTTTATTAGTCAACGTCGAAAAACCTTGCCTGTTGGGTGTTGGGAAACTTAGGGTTTCAGTTCTGTTTCCACGATGTTCAAGAAAATCATGAAGGGAGGGCAGAAGAAGCCCTCCAAATCCGATGCCAATGATGCCTCGTTGTTCGGGTACGGGCCTCCCGGTGCTGGCGCCAATGTCGTCGTCAACCACGCGTCCCGGCCTGGTCCGGCCCCTCCTGGACCTAATTCTGTTGGTCCCTTGAACCTGGCTCCGATGCTCTCCGTGGAACCCCTTCCTGTGTTTAGGGATGTGCCTGTGTCAGAGAGGCAAACTTTGTTTATGAGGAAATTGCAGATTTGTTGCTTCCAATTTGATTTGTCGGATACCTTGAAATCTGTCCGTGAGAAGGAAATCAAGAGGCAGACTCTGTTGGAGCTTATAGACTTTATACAATCTGGGTCCGGGAAGATTACAGAGGTGTGCCAAGAAGAGATGATTAAAATGGTTGCCCTGAACGTCTTCAGGTGCCTGCCTCCTGCTTCACACGAAAATACAGGTCAGGAGACAACTGATCCCGAGGAGGAGGAGCCTTATTTGGAGCCTTCTTGGCCCCATTTGCATCTGGTTTATGAACTGCTATTGAGATATGTGGTTTCTTCAGATACAGACACCAAGGTTGCAAAGAGATACATAGATCATTCGTTCGTGTTGAAACTGCTCGATTTGTTTGATTCTGAGGATCCTAGAGAGCGGGAGTATTTGAAGACGATTCTGCATAGGATTTATGGGAAGTTTATGGTTCATCGTCCATTTATTAGGAAAGCCATAAACAATATATTCTATCGGTTTATATATGAGACAGAGAGGCACAGTGGTATTGGAGAGCTTTTGGAGATTCTTGGTAGTATAATTAATGGGTTTGCTCTGCCTATGAAGGAGGAGCATAAGTTATTTCTTGTTCGGGCATTGATACCACTGCATAAGCCAAAACCACTTTCTTTGTATCATCAGCAGCTGTCTTACTGTATCACACAGTTTGTGGAGAAGGATTTCAAACTGGCTGATATAGTTATTAGGGGATTGTTGAAGTATTGGCCTCTAACCAACTGCCAAAAGGAAGTTCTCTTCCTTGGAGAACTTGAGGAAGTGCTAGAAGCTACACAATCTGCAGAGTTTCAGCGCTGCATGATTCCTCTCTTCAGACAGATTGCTCGCTGCCTCAATAGCTCTCATTTTCAGGTAACTTTTATGAGATTCTTTGCAAATTCATAATTTCAGCCTTTCAAAAATCAGTTATTGTTGTTGGATATTAATGGAAATCAGAGTGGAAAATAGGGAGTTGCCTCCATCATGATAAGTTATGATAAATTATTAAGTTGACAACTTTGCTCTCCCTACAGTTCTTTGAAGTGGAGAATGGTTGTTGATGATAGCTTCTTAATGTTGTTCTGTGCATGTGTTACAATTTGACCTGCATCTCTCCCCAATGATCATATTGTGTCCGTATTGAATAATTTTGTATGAAAATAGGATCCTCTTTATGTATCTTGTAACCTACGTTGGTTTTTTGGTGAGCCCTGGTAATGAATGCCTTTACTGCCTTTACTGCTCAGCTCTTAAAATTGTTGCAGTTTTTTTCATATCCTACTTCTATTCCTATAAATTACAACATATCCATAATTATCCTATCCACTTGGGAGCTAGAATGGTATTTTTCAGCATTTGACCTTGTATATGTGTGCTTCTCTTTTCTTTATTTTATCATTGCTTGAACTTGATTTTGAAATTGATGTTGTCACTTGTAATTATTTCTCAAGTTTACCTGTTGACAGTTCATTCACAAGAAGCAGAGGGTAATGTATAAAGATGAATGAATTAATGAAATTGCATAAAATTGAAAAAAAAAAATTGCATAAACCAGATATGTTTAGTTGCTATTCTGTATGTGATTCTTGACTGCTTATTGTCATTTGAACTATGTGATATTGTGTGGTAGTGTGGTACTGATTCTTAATGATGAAGTTTTATTAATCTTGGATTTCTTTTTAAATTTTGAAGAGAGTAATCTCGGATTTATATTTGCAGTTTAATAAATAATCTTAGAACTATCTTTAGTGGTTTTCAGATATGGTTTTTTATACTGAATTGGTGGAATATATTTTTATAGCAATCTTTCCAGTCTTTTAATTTTTTGTATGCGAGCCACTATATCTTCCATGTTTTATTTTCACTCATAATCTATCCTCAGTTAGCAGCTTTAATCAGACATCATCCCTTTGTTATTAGTTTCTTTTCTTCCTTCAACTTTTTTAGCTGACATGTTTTCTTGGTACCAGCAGCTTGTTTTGTGGTTTTAAGTGTGCTTCATTTTGCAGAAATTTGTTAATTGAAAGATGTTTAGGTATTTGTTTGTAAAAATCATGTCTTTAGATGAATTCTCTTGAAAATTATTTTTTTTGCCCAAAGTGGAGTGTCCTGAGACAGATTTTCAAGAGTGCACCTTATTTATAACATGGTAGCTAATCAAGTGTTGCAAAATATTTCTGAACGATGTATTTGAAGCTTTTACAGTGAGTAATAGGTGAAAGGTGTTATGATAAGTTCTGCATAAATGCAAGCTTTTCTGTGTTATTTTATTACATGCAGTACCCAATATAAGGCTTGAGGTTAAATACAGTTAGATATTGGTTAACTGATCTTGTTGAGCATAAAATTAAGTGTTTCATGTTGCGGATGACATTTTATAGGAGGATATTCTGGAATTTTTATCAACATCTAATAGTAGCATTGTAATATTTTTATCTTTGTTGGGATTTTAGAATAATTAGAGGGGGCCAGTCAGTGCAGTGTTGGTTTTTTCAAATTTGCTTGTAATTCTATAATGAATCTGTAAATTTTTTCTAAAAATGTATGTTTGCATTGCAGGTTGCAGAGAGAGCACTATTCCTGTGGAACAATGAGCATATTGTAAGCTTAATTGCCCAGAATCGGCAAGTCATATTACCCATCATTTCTGAGGCAGTGGAGAGGAATATCCAGAGTCATTGGAACCAGGTAGTTCATGGGTTGACTGTCAACGTGCGGAAGGTGTTCATGGAAATGGATGCTGAGTTGTTTGAAGAGTGTCAGAGGCAGTATGCAGAGAAGCAGGCAAAAGCCAGGGATGTGGAAGAGCAGCGGGAAATGACATGGAAAAGACTAGCAGACGTGGCTGCACAGAGAGGGTAAGAGGAGATGTTTCCAGCGTAACAGATTAATCCGCACTGAATTGGCCAGGCATAAGAAATGGTTGGAGGATAGAGGATGATGATAATCCTGCGTGGCACTCCCCATTTCGAAGTATTCTTTCTCTTGTTTATTTTTCATCAATTTTTGTCTTTATTTTTTGCTCTCACTCTTGATTATTTAAGATATCAGGAAAGAGCAGCGTAAAATGTAAGATGTATGGAATTTGTTAGCAATGTTCTGCAGATTAAGAATGACCAGCGAGGAATGGCTTGTATTTTTTGGTCATTCTATTTGTTCATCCAACACAGAGGTATCATAATTTTTTTTTTTCTTTTTGTTTTATAGTTTGTATTTACAGTACTTGAAAGTTGAAATTTATTCATATTCTAATTTCCAAGTTAGAAGAAACTATTAAATCCACTCTCATTCATCTTATTGTTTATATTCAACAGTTGATAATTATTGACATCAGAAAAGTGACGAAAAAATATTTCAAAATTATGTTATTTTAATTAAATTATATTAAAAATAATTAAAAATATCTTTATTTTTTAAATAAAAATAAAAATGTTTTAATTTTTTATCATATTATTTTATTAAAATAATATAATTAAATTTTATTTTTTTTATAATACAAATCGACTTGTAGTCATTAATCTCATATTGATATTATAGTTATATTATTTTCCTTAAACAAACAAAGCCTAATTGAGTCTGAACTAAAGGTTGATTAGCAAGTCCTTACATTGCGCACCAAAGTTGTATGCGAGGACAAGAGTTAATTTCTGTGAAGGTGCATGCAGAACTATGGAAGAAAAGTATCTCATGATCCATAGTTTTGATGCAAAAGGAGAGTTTTTAAAGTTGATGCTGCCGACTCCTCTTAACTCATATACTTTTTTATATTCTAAAATCGTCATGGGAACATTTTGGTGGCAGCAACATATCCAAATTTACCTCTAAAGTATAGCAGTAGAGATGGATTTATTTTCGAATAAAAAACAAAGATAAATTTATTTATAAAGTTCTCGATTTGAAAGAATTATTTCAAATATAATTTGTGACATCATCTGATATTATTAATCTGTTAATTTGACATTATCTGACGTCAACAATCCGTTAATGAATGGATTGTTGATGTTAGATGATATCATGCTTCATGCGTTAAATTTGAAATGATTTATTTAAATTAAAAATTTTATGAGTGAATTTATTTTTTATTTTTTGTTTGAAAATAAATATGTTTTATCACTCTACTTTATGGATGAATTTAGGTATTTTGCCTTTTGTAGGAGGGTAGGAGGTATTTTGCAAGCAGTGGGGGAAGTTAAATTGAACTCGCGGCTCTAATGGGCTGGTTTTTTTATAGAATATTTTGAAGTGATGATTTTATGGGTGTGTCATTGTGTCTGAAAATTAATTTTTTAATTACAATTTTTGTACTTAAATTTTAAATTTAAATTACAAAAAATAATTATTTACTAATAAATATAAACTTAAAGTTAAGAGCATAGACAATAACTAAATCCCAATACAAACCATCTAACCAAACCCCAATCGAAATGGTATCCACAACATTGTAAATCCTTTTTATTTCTTAGCAGAGAAGTTTTTTCAGTCTGGATACATCTAGTCTGTGAAATGATTTTATTAGGGTATTTTGATATTTTTAAAATCTAGACTACATTTTTTTTATAAAGTTAGAATTTACAAAAAGGTACTGTACATTATGTATTGTATTAAATTATTGTTTTATCAAGTTTAATTGTTTTAATTTAATTTTTATATAAACTTTGATTAAATAATTTTATATAGCAAATAGATTTAAAAATTTAAAAAAAAAATTCTTTCTATAAGTGAAATTTATTGAGTATTTTTATTTAAATTAAAATTTTATTTAATTTTTATTTATTATTAAATAAAATTATTAAATTAATTTATATAGAGTTTAGGAGTAGGACAACAAATAAAAAACCAGAGGGAGTAAAGTATAGATTCTTTGGTGGACTCTCCAATCTTGGGCTTCCCGCTTCCCTCATTCGATATTGCATTTTGCAATTTTGCAATCTTGCAATTTGGTACACTAAACTTTTTCTCATCAGCTCAAAATCCTGAAATTAAAAGGTATCCACACTTTCCTTACCTTCCTTACTTTCCATTCATTCCTTTGTTTCTAGCCATCGTCACTTTTGTCTCTGCGACAATTTTCTCGACACAGACAATCAAACGAAGGGCAAAAGCGAAAGCAGCTGCTGATTCTATAAACAAGGCATCCTTATGGCGAAGAAAGGAGGGGCCTCACTTCAGAAAGACGCCCCATGGAGGGTCTCTGACGGAAAAACCGTCCCGAAAATCCACCTTTCTCCTGTTCTCCGCATCCCACAAAACCCTCAAACCAATTATGGACTCTCCCTCATGAAGGTCAGCCTCTACCTGTCTTTTAAACGATGTAAATTCTTTTATTTGTTTATGGGTTTTTATTGGAATCGGGATTATTTGCAGCACCCAGATCCGATACGAAGTGGGTTGGCGATGCCGGCGATAGTGGAGGCGGCTGGGCCTGATTGTATTGTCCCAGGCCAGATGACACCAATTCGATTATTAGGTGTCAAGGTGCTCCTTAATTTTCTTGATGTTCCATCATTTCTTTATTTTCTGAACGTTTCTGATTATTTTCTGTTTTTATTGGATGTTGTTTTTCCTGAGTTTTAATCTATTCATTTATTATTATTCTTTATCATGAGGTGATGATTTAATGATATATTGATATGTTAAAAGTGTTATGCAGGCAGTAAAACCAACATGGTGGTGGTTGAACATTTTATTGTCTTATCTGAGTTTTCTGAGTTGCCTAAACTAATAATAACATAATCCATGCTTCAGTCCCATTACCATTTCTAGTCGTTCAGCTTTAGCATTTTCGTTGTTACACCCTGGTTATTTGTATATAGAATTTATTGCATCCCTTACCAAACATCGATGAAGGGTCTATATTGTGGGTTATAGTAGGGCATTAGTTAGCTGTGGACTAACGCTTTTGCATACTTGACATAAATGGCTTATGATGGCACGTTGGTGGTTTTGTTGTGAGCTGATGGTTTAGATTCATGGGCAAGACATTGTTTCTTGTACTCCTTTTCTATGTAAGAAAAAGAATGAAAATAATTAACATTTGAAGAGACACTTGCACATTTTTGTTTTTCCATTGCATTATTCTAGATGATATGTGCAGCGTTTCATGTTCATGGGCATTGTCTTAACCATCAAAACTTGTTACAGCTTAACAAAAAAGGAAAAACCTGTTACAGGGGGTTGGACTGGCTGAAGACACTTTAAGGATTTCTAGTCTATTTTAACAAAGGATAATTTTAGGGTGTGAGTTGTTTGCAACCTATGCTACATATTCTTGTCATCATTATTCAAGTTAATTCTGGGGACACTGCAACTAAAACTCTCGCTTTCCATTTTGCCCCCCACTTGTTATCTCCGTTATGATGGAATCTGATCCCATGTTCCACTAGCAGGATGTCATTGCTGTCAATGGTTGGAGTGTAGGATATAACTACTGGGACTAAGTAGTCAAGAACCATGATAATTCTTATCTTGTGTATTTAATTAGTTTTCTTCTGAAGTTGACCTTTTTTTTGGCTAATTTTATTATTTAATTTATCAAATTGTCCTTTTTCTCTCCATACCATCAGGACCATATGAAATGCCATGGACCCTTTGCTTCATTGGCAGGCATCTATTACGGAATTATCTTCCTATTCTTACAACTTTGTTCTTTTGCATATTGGTAGGTATGGCCCATTGAAGTTAACCTGAAAATTTTTGAACCAGCTGGAAGAGAACTGAAGCGATTAGGAAAGGTGAACTTCATAATTTTACTCCTCCACATAGACACACATTTATTTATTTATTTATTGGCAATTGACACACATTTAATTTAATTAGCCATTTTCAGGAGTAAGTTTGGTTTTTGTTCCAGATTTTTCATGTGTCTTTAATAAAAGCTGCAACTATGTGCATATTAATGATTGGTGCTCAACGTCCTTAAATTGGTTTATCTAGTTCCTCCTAATCCTCCTTAAATCATAAGATTTGCCGTAGTAATTTTGAACAACAGTAAGCTTCTTAAGCAAGTTTCTATGAGTTCCATTCTGGTTCTAAAAGGGGTAAGGTATGTGTGGGAACACCATGGGAGAAACTTTGAAGTTTTCTATTTGTAAAAATTTTGTGCCAATTCTTTTTTCTGTCAGGCCAACTATATATCTTATCTGCCTTGGCCTTGTGGAGATATTTTTATTGGCTGTTAACTGGTGTGGCCTTGTGGAGATGAAGTTGCTTGTTGCTCCATCTCATGTTATACCTTATGAGATGTCCTTTATGGTTCAGTTTATATATATATTTTTTCCCCTGAAGCATAATGCTATTAGTTCCCTCCACGACTAGGTTAGAGACACTGCTGAACTTATTTTGTCTGAGCCCCATACTTCCTTTATAACAAATTGATGGGGTTTCAAACTTCATTACATGCTCACTTTAGATGGCATGCATATCCTTTATTTATTTTGTTCTTAAAAAAATTTGCTTGCATCGATTATGCAAATGTGTATCTAATGTGGTTTGTGACTTGAATGATTACTTTCATGCAGTTCATGGAAGGAGCTTGCAACCTTATGGATCAGTCATTCATTGATCGCTAATATCCCATCTTTTAAGTAATCGAGAGGTCAGGAACCAGTGCTGTAGGCCGACAATCTATTCTGTTTTGTTACAATTAACAGATGTATCAAGTAGACACAGTTATTGTACATGAGATGCATACTCTTCTCTTTTGTTTGGGACCTTCAATGGATTTTTTATCATAGATAATGAAAAAATGGATTCCTACAGCTACAAGTTTTATTCGGTTAAACTGCTTCCCCATTCTTTCTCTTCATTACAGAACTACCTTCGCCGCCAAAAAATGCCTAATTGCAGAGATAGGCAGTTTAGGTCAGGCTTTTTCCTTCCTGGTAAATTGAGTTTTCAGTTTTCACTGTCATTGCATAATCCTTCTATTTTTCCTGCAAATCCCTCTTAATATCCACTTTGAGATAATGATTCCAGTTTGAGATACAATCAAGTTTAAGATTATGATTCTGGTATTCTACAAATTTTTGTGTGCCTTCCAAAAGGACCAGAACGCTATCCATATCCTATATCCAATGAAAAATTGCACTTCCCTTCGTGCACTTTTAATAATACAAGGAAAAGATATCTCTTAGCTATCTGCAAACTACAAATCTAGGCAGTTGTAATGGAAGCTATAGCGTATGGAAGTCTGCATAAAAAGCCACTAATGTTGATGCGGAAGTCTGCATAAAAAGCCACTAATGTTGATGCAAAAAAGGGAGATGGTTAACTCTACCATCCACTCATGACACAACCGAACTTGGAAACACTGATGAATAACCTAACTGTAGCCTTCCTTAGCATGAAATAATCTTACAAATTAAGCCCAATTGTGGAGTGCCCACAAAATTAGTGTTCTCCAGCTATTGTGCCATGTAGTATTTTCTGTCACCCTTTCCTTCTACATTTTCTGCCTCCCTTTTTCGCACTCCAGTACTTCATTTAAAGAAGAGTTGAGCAGCATCAAGGTTCTATGCAACAAAATGGCCCGTGAAGCAGCAGCAGCAGCCATGAAAGGCAAAAAACTGCACAGAGGGCCTTGGCAGGAGGATGAAGATGAACTGTTAAACACCTTTGTAAGCCTGTTAGGAAGCCAGAGATGGGATTTCATAGCAAGAGTCTCAGGTATATAGGATTCATTCAGACTATGTGGCACTACATTTTTTTCTTGTATACTAAGCCTTCTTCAATCTGTAGGTTTGAAGAGAAGTGGAAAGAGTTGCAGATTGAGGTGGCTGAACTATTTGCGTCCAAATATCAAGCATGGCCATATTAGTGCTGAAGAAGAACAGATCATCCTTCAGCTCCACAAGCGCTGGGGTAACAAGTGAGGAATTACTTTCTTTCTCTCCTTAGGCCTATATATATTCTACTTTTAGTTTTAAATTGGATCTTCTTTCTCTGAATAAATACTTCTGTAGGTGGGCAAGGATTGCAGAAAGATTGCCTGGAAGAACAGATAATGATATAAAGAACTACTGGAGAACATATTTAAGGAGGAAAGTACAGGTTCAGAAGAAAGGTGATCAACATGAATTCCTGTTTGAGAAGGGTGGAAATGCTGCTCCACAATGCAGCAATGAAGGTGGCAACCATAAGTCTTTTGTAGATGTATTGGAAACTGAAAACATTTCATCTGATGCTGCTGGAACATCAGATTTTGGGCTTACAAATTCGCCTTATGAAACCCGAATATCAGACTGGATATCTGAGTTTTCAGGTGAAGAAGGTGAGATAAAATATCATCATGAGTACTGGAGTTGCTTGGAATCATGCTGTCATTATTCAGATTGGATTTCTGAGGATAGTGACATATGGGAAACATGCTCGGATTCCCTCTGGAATATGGACTAATGCTGTGATCCCTTGTTGTTGAATTTGGGAAACGTGAATATGTTAAGAACCTTTAAAATTATAAAAGGAAATATTTTGCTTCCTGTAAATGTTTCTTAGCAAAATACCTCAGAGTTAGAAGTCTCATGGAATGTTTAAACCTTTAATTGGTAAGGCCGTAAGGGAAGGGTTTGTGTAATGAGATGATCAAACTACATCTACATGTAACCTTTAAATAAAATTTTTAAAAAAATTATTTTGCTTCCTGTAAATATTTCTTAGCAAGATGAAGCAAATATTTCTTAGCTAAATATCTCCAAGTTAGAGGTCTTGTGTAATTTTTAAACCTTTAATTGGTAAGAGAGAAAGAATGATGATCTTGGCAGCTTGCTTGCTCCTCTGTTTTTTAGCTATCTAAAACAATAATAAAAGCACTTAGAATTGAGGCTCTTAAAAAGGTATTTGAAGTAGTTAAAAATTTAAGATTTTGAATTAAAATTTTTGGATTAAAACTTTGTAAAAGGTGAGAAGGGATAATAAAAACTTTTCATATAGGAGTACTATTTTTGGGTGAATTATTGGGCAATATCTCAGCAATAATATTACATGACACATCTTAATGGTCCAACAAATTTGTCAAGAGTACTACAAGAAAAAGAAGAGAAATAAAGAAAGTAAAAAATAATATCAAAAAAAATTTTATAATATAGTACAATCTGAATTGTAAAATAATAAACTCAAATAATATTATCCATTTCAGCAAGTAGTAACCCATGAGGCAGAGCATTATATCCGTGAATTCAACTGTTTACTAGACTAGACGTCACAAATATATGCTTTCGCTTTCTATAGGATAGACTAAAATCGTGTTTCTTTATCCTTTAAAGAATCCTAAGCCCTTGTAATCTAACCACATCATCTCCTCTCTCATCTGTCTATTATCTGTTCGGACTAGTGGGGGCACATTTGAGATTGCTATGAAAACGTGTTTCTACAGACATTCAAAAAAAAATCCTAAACACACCAAGCCAATGAGATTAGATTGAGATATTATTGAAAAACATGGCCTAGACCTGAACGGGATGGAAACTACATATTTTCTATTCATTACCGTTCCGAAACACCAAGTTCCCGGTGAGAAATTTCTCTGTTATCTCCAAGATTCTCCAAATAAAATGCCTAATCATGCCTTAATATTAATTAATTGTTCTGCTAGTTTGCCACTTTTTTTTTAAAAAAATATGTTATGTAGTTGAATTGTACCAAATTATATAATATAAATTATGTGATCATGTAAGCTTTAAAGATGGATCTTCTTGATATGATTATTAATATTTTACAATGTATACAATTTGAACAGAATAACAGAAAACTGTTTTAGAAAAACGAAAACCCTTGTGGGGATGACTGCCCTTAAATCACGAGAAGAATGTCGTCATTAACGGAGGAATTCATCACTAAATGCTGTTTCGTTTTTATAGCATGAAGTAATGCCTTCAAAAAAAATGCTCACCATCTTAGGCAGTTTTGTAGGGGAAAGTGAAGTGAAAATGTTAGAGATATATGCATGCTCTTGGGCCAGAATTAATTTGTTGATTATTCCGCTTACCGTCGTTGATGATGAGCTTTGCTACGTTTGTTATGACATGAAGGCAGGGGGTATCAAGTACAAAAAACAAAGACAAAACAATGCAACAAGACAGGATGGCACTAGCTTTTGCCCGACAGAATCGTCTGAATAGTCATCATCGTAGCCGTTGCCGGAACCGAAAACGGTAGCAGCACCGTTGGTGGTCCACATTCCCAGGTTGTTGCCTCTGCTCGTCAGCGAAAAAGAGCTTATCAATCATTCACGATCAATTAAGTTTGGGACATTAAAAGCCCAAGTCTATATGAGCCCAATTTTGTGAGCCTAATGAGCCCAACACAAAGGGGATAATCTAATCAAGTTTTGGGCCCAATGGGTTAAAGAGTGAAAGTAGAAAAAAAATGAAAATGCTATAATTAGTATCCCGACATGATGTTATGAATTTATAATATTATATATTATTATATAATTAAATTTTGTATTTATAATTTATTAATAATATTGTATTTATTTATTTAATATTTTATTAACGTTATAATTATAAATTTATAATTTTATATAATATTATAATTATAATATTAAAAAAAAATGAAAATAGAGAGAAAATGTGAAGAAGAAAAGAATACCTGCCACCAACTCCAAGGACACCAGAGTGCATGACGAGCAAGTCAATAAGAGCGGCGTTTTTGGGCTCAACACTGTAAGCCTTCTCGTATTTCACCTCAAGACCCTCGCCGGACGCCACAAAAAACGCTCCGTTCACCAATATATCCCCATCTGATCTCCAATTCCAGCCCTTCCATTCTCCTTCTTCAGTGTCCACTCGCTTCGTCACCTACGTACGTAATTTATTTATATATACAACGTTAGATATATAACTGTAATGTAATGTAATCTCTTCTTTATGGGTAGAAAAAAAAAATTTTTTAAGTAAAAGAAGAACTATTTCCTTTCTTTCGTTTTTGACATTTTTTACGTGTTAATTAGACCTTTTCTTCGTAGTGCTAGTGCGGAGGTGGCTTTTTACTGCATGTGACATGCACAGTATAAATAAAGTAATGGTTTCCAGCTTTGGAATCTCGAAGTGACCACAATTTATTCCACTTTTCAAAAAGACCCTACCTTTGAAATGCACTTAATTTGCGGTGATTAGAGATATGAAATATGAATAATAAAAATAAAAGAATACAGTAGTCATTATCCTAAAAAATAATTGAAAATCCTGTTTCGTAAGTTGGAAACAATTTATTTCACTTTTCAAAGACTTAATTTGCGGCCCGTGATAGAGGCATGAAATTTGAATAATAAAAATAAAAAGAATACAGTAGTCATTATCCTAAAAAATAATTGAAAATCCTGTTTTGTAAGTTGAAACAATTTATTTCACTTTTCAAAGACTTAATTTGCGGCCCGTGATAGAGGCATGAAATTTGAATAATAAAAATAAAAAAATACACTAGTAATTATGCTTAAAAAAATTAAAAAATTATGTTTTGTAAATTAAATTATAAAATATAAATTATTAAATAAAAAATAACCTTTAACGTCATGTAATTATTACCATATAACTTAAAACGAACTTCACTAAGTGACCTGATAACCCTGTGTCTTATTGAGGTTAGTGAATTGTTCACCAGATCTAAGTATCGAATTCTTAGTTATTAACATCTAACAATACTAACCTATTAATCATTACCCTTATCAAAAATTAAAAAAAAAAACTTAAAACACTATGTCCGGTTGCATGTTGTGGAATCTAACCTCTTTGTTTTTAACAGTACAATTTAAAAGGTAGGGAGAGGGAAAATTTTAGTACGATAATATCATGATTTGATTTTAATTATTATCAAAATATTAATTATACCTAACAATTGATTTATTAGCGTGATATGTTGGGGCCCTCTAACTCTGTTAATATTGATTGAGGGAAAATTTAAATTGAAAATAAAATAAAAGCAAATTAAAAGTGTACCTCCTTGGCATTAGGGTTAGAAGGAGCAGTGTAGCGATTCCCTTGACTATTGATGGTGGGGTTTCCGCTACCGCCAATGGCATACATCTCCCACTGCGTGAAGTCATTGTTCACCACATGAATGTACCCCCGCCGGCACCGCGGCATCCTCTGCACCAGCTTCTCCCCGAAGTGGTTGAAGGCAATGGTCACCTGCATGCCGGAGTCCGGCAAGTAATCATCGCTGTGACCCAACAGCATCACCTCGTTGTGATGGGAGAAGAAGTTGTTTGAAATCGTGATTCCGGTGGACCCCATTACCGCATCAATCAGACCGTCCTTGCAGTGTGACAAGGAACAATGGTCGATCCATAAGTCCTTTGAACCGAATATGGAGATCCCATCACCGTCCGATTCGGTTCGCCACCCGTAGTGTGTTGGACTAGACCGCACATTAGCCTCACCCGACTGTACACAATGGTGAATGTGGATGTTGTGAATGATGACATTGCTAATGTACTGCAATGTAATGCAGCCGCCGCCGGTGATGTGCACGTTCGCCCCACGGCCATCAAGGGTCTTGAAGCTGTTAAATATGAGCTCTTGTTTGAGCTTAATATGCATGTTGCCAGGAAACACAATCCAGAGTGGTTGTTCCTGTATCACAGCATATCTCAGTGTCCCTGGCTTGGGAGTAACAGCATCATCGTCGGAGGAATCCGTGACAATGTAGTACTCACCGCCTTTGCCACCGAGGGCGTACTGGCCGAACCCAATGGCACAATCAGCCAGCCTCTGGCGGTTGTTGGCCCAGTCAGGGTCACATTTCCAGCAGTCGTCTATGGGGTTGCCGGTCAAACATGAGGATTGGTCTTTCTGTGAAATTTGTAGTGTCTGCCTTCTTGATATGGACTCATTTACTCTCCTGATTTTCCAATGGGAAAACAAATTAGATTTGCAATAGTAAATGCACCTATTGGCCCAATAATAGTGTAGTAGATGACAGAGGAGAGGGTGCATTATGCACATTAACCGAAAATACTAAAGCTAGGAAAGTAGAAGGGGGAAAAGAAAAAGATGCAAAAGAAGATACGTTGAGATATGAAGTACGAAACAAGAAAACATAAAATCAAGCAAGGATTTCTAAAGTAAAGAAACAAAGAAATGCAGAGCAACCAACATTAAAATGAACAAGTCCATTAGGTCGTCTAGTTTTAAGAGCTTAAAACGTATATATCTCTTTATTAGAGGTCTAAAGTTCGAATCTCATATACTACCACAAATCTTACCAAAAAAACATTAAAATGGAGGGACAGAGAACCAGTTAATCTGTTATCAATATGAGAAGAAAAAGAAGATAAATATAGGAGCTGCATCTGAATTTCAAGACCCAGAAGACTGATTTTTATACTTTTGAAGACTGCTTTGAAGGTTGATTGACTACTATAAGAGACAAGATACCCAAAATGCAGTAGAGACACAGCATGAAAGCATCTTCATTAATTCTACCCAAAAATGCAGTAGAGACAAAGCATGAAAGCATCTTCATTTCATTTCAAAAATGAAAATCCTGAAGGCAAATCCAACAAGAGGAAGACAGTGCAACAAGAACAAGCTTAGGAATGTAGAAAAAGGAACTACATTTTACCTTTGAACATCTTGAACTACATGTTCTGGGTTGGGATGTGGAATGGGAAAGGTGAGGTTGAATACAGCACTTCCAAGTGAAAAAAATGAACCCAGGAGACAGATTAGGACAATGCAGGTTCCGTACAACATTGTTGCTGAAGAAAAGAGTGGGTTTTGTAGAGCAGTTCCTCTGTTTCTAAACTAAGAACAGGGGATCAGTCAGTCTTTGGTGAGAGACATTAAGGAGGAAGTGAAGAACAGTGAGTGGAAAAGAAGACAGAGTGAAATGTATTTTCCACTCAGAGTCACAGTACTCAGCTTTCTGAGGTGTGGTGTGGGGTTTTGATTATAATGATAGTTTATGGACTTTTGGTGATACACTTAATGGAGATAAAAGAAGAAATGTTTCCACTTTTGGCTTTGGCGGGAGGGAATCCAGCTCGTCGCTAGAAACGGTCTCCAATTTCTTTTGTGCACAGTAAAGAGAAATTTAGTCAAAGTGTGAGCAGTTCGATTTTGTTGGTTTATGTGTGGCTATCTCGGAGGATGGGTTAAGTTAACTCTAGCAGTGGGCATGCTTACAAATTAAAGAAATAAAAAGAAAGTCAGTAAGCGTGAATACTCCTGTCGCGTTCACTTTCGAGAATCGAGACCAACCATCTTCTAATTAATGCTCAGTCCAACCAAAATGCTTAGAAAAGATATTTAGAAATTAGATCAAAGAAGCATTGTAGGAGAAGAGTTTGCGGTTTTGCTCTCCATCTTGGAGAGAGGACCATTCTAACATTTAGAATGTGCGGTTTGAAAGTGCACGCATGAAACAATAAGAATACATGCGAAAAGAAGTTATATTAAACTCAAAAAACATACTTATTAAGTTTATAGGTCTTTATATATAATTAGATTCTAACACTTTATTTTTTATTGATGTGTGATTTTATGCCTTTTTTTTAACTCTACTTGTATATGAATTTATACTCCAAAAGAAAAAATATGCCTTTAATTAATGGGTATAAGATATGTTTTTGACACAAAACAGATTGTACATTACTTTTTTGTTAGGGCAACATATAACACTACATACAATGAAATATAAGTGTAGCAATTTAGGAACCATGGGAACTGTGAGCAGATTCACCCAGGGAATCCGGGAACAGATTGGGCGACCATCCTTCCTCTTCTTTTGTTGATATGGCGACAGCAGCTAAAGGAAAAGATTGAACTTGTAGAATCTACTTATACACTTCTATGTTCTGTTCCCCTTTCTTGTTTTTGGCCACTTTGTTTCTCTTTAATTATCTTTAATCTTCTTTATATCCCCATCCCCGCTCGCTATCTTAGAACAATGATGCTAATAAATTTGGTGCTTTACTTAGTGGTTAGAGATTTTGAATACATCATACACATCCAATCAAATTAGTTTCTTTAATCCTTTTATATTGACCACCATTTATACTAATAGAACTAAGCAATTTATCCATGCACATAAGACAAAATAATGTCTCTGGGATGCTCCATCGGTTAAGTGTTAATATCAACTTGAATTTCTACAACAAAGATCTCAAATTTAAGTTTTCAAACTTATTTTTGAGTAGTTTAAAAGAAAATAAGTTATCTCACGATTTATAGTCATTTTACATTTATAAAAAAAAATGACAAAAGATAAATATAGCAATTTGGTATGTGTATGTCAATGCAATGGCAGGAAAGTCATTCACATTTAAGATATATATTGCATCGTTTTGTAGTTCTGTCGATAGGATTGTCAAAGCCAAGGCTGCATGTTCAGAAGCCTCAGTTTTCAAACAAAACATGCCAAATACATCTTTTGCTAGTCTTGGGTGCTATACGATTCATCTTTGAAATTATGCAGAGAAAGCAAACCGCATTCATACTTATTCTTTTCCTCTACAAAATGTAAAGTGGAATACTCTCTAAACCGAGGAACACAACTGAGGGTTAGAAGATTCCCTCGAGTGAACAAAATTGTGGCCCACATATATACTGCAGATCCCGAGAGTTATACTTTTTGAAACTTTTATTACGTAACTTATTCAAAATTATAAAATTAAAATCATTGATGAAAGGGACTTATATTAAAGAGTTTATCTCATTTATATTAAGATATTTAACAAATAAATGTTTAAAATCTGAACATAAAATCTTTAAAATATATAAATACATATTTTCATTTCAATGACTTAAGATTTATTTAAATAAAATTTTAATTATTTATCTTTT